TAGCGAAGAAGTTGGAAATGGAGAGACAGGGCATCAGTACTAACAATAAGGGCAGACCTAAGAAGACGGCCGTCGAAGAGGACTTGGACTCCAATATCGTTCAACTGTTCGCCACTTATGACCACAAATCTAGTCCTAAGAAATCAATTTGTAAGCAATTGTTTGGCGTTTTTGTGGTTAGATTTAATGATAATTATCTCGTAAACTGACAGCCCGTTCAAAGCTGGACACCACAGTGTACGACACGACCAGAAGTGTGTTGAATGAGTTGATGACCGGACAGGCATACGAGTCGCGCACAGAACTCGCGGAATCCATTCGCCTATTGATCGACGAGTCGGTCACCACTTTCCCCAAAGACACTGTCGTTGCCAACACGAGCGCTGAAGTGATAATAGCCGCCGACCCGCAGGACGTGTTGGTCAGCACTAGTCAGGCCTCAGTTGCGGCTTCCCGTGAATGGAAGGCACCGCCAATTCTGCCACCCAATAAAACTACAGTGAAAGGCCTGAGAGGACTACTCATACATTCGGACTATTTCTCGCAAATTATTGCCAAATCAGAGGTATTTCTTAGTTTGAAAGCAATTGAGTTGTGATTTAATTCATGTATTTATGAATCAATTGATAGATTCCTTTGGAAGAGTTTAAGGAAGCGCTCGAAGGGAACGAGAATTACGCCAAACTCTTACTACAATTTAAGTCACTGTTTGGTTGGCCGGCGCTGTTGTCGATGATAGAGCCGCCCGAACGCAACGATAAGAGCGGTGAACAGCCGGCGCCACCGATACCGACTGGAAAGCCAGTGAGGCGTCGGAGCCGCAAATCGTGGCTCAAAACGGAATCGTCGCGAATGATAGAGATTCGCACAAATCAGGCCAAACTGATTGAGTCGGAAATGCAGAGAATTGCAGATTTGAACGCAAAGGCAACAGAGGCTGAGATGGCGGACCCGGTGCCCGAAGAGCCACTGAATGAGACGTCGGCTAAGAGTCCCTGGTATGTGACCAAAAAGGAGCGCAAGTATTACAAAATGAAGTCTTTGGACAAGAGTTCTTTTGTGTTCACTCGAGTCAAACCAAAACGCGATTCAATTAAGAAATAGATTAGTCATTGAATCCGTGTTGCAATCTAACAGTAAATTTTGATAATCTGTTTAAATATTTGTTCAATAATTAGTACAAAAGAAATGATATTTTGTTAATGAAAGCCCTTATGATGTGTGGGCGAAATGACTCCCATTTATAATGACTAACATTCTC